AGTTCTAATTGACCTTGCTCTTGCTTCATTTAGTTGCTCACGTAGGTTCCTTTTGATTCCCTGGCTGTGCTCTCATTGTTGGGATTTCAGTGTGTTCCCACGTTGTTTTTTGGTTAAGCCGATTCCTGCTTACTTCCTTCTTCTCTGGTTGTGCCTTCTCCTTTCTCCTGCTCTCCTGCCTGCTCTCTTTCCTCAGGACTGGGGTTGTTTAGTCTGGAGAAAAGGAGGCTGAAGGGAGCCCTTATTGCTCTCTACAACTACCTGAAGGGAGGGTGTAGGGACGTGGGTGTTGGTCTCTTCTCCCAGGTAACAAGAGATAGAACAAGAGGAAATGGCCTCAAGTTGTGCCAAGGGCAGTTGAGATTGGATATGAGGAAGAATTTATTTCCTGAAAGGGTTCTCAGGCATTGGAAGGGGTTGCCCAGGGCAGTGGTGGAGTCCCCATCCCTGGAGGGATTGAAGAGTCGTGTAGACATAGTGCTGAGGGACAGGGTTTAGTCGGGGACTTGTCAGTGTGAGGTTAATGATTGGACTTGATGATCTTAAAGGTCTTTTCCAATCCAGGCAGTTCTGTGATTCTGCGGCTCACTCATTCTCCTATGCCTTGTCTATTATTTCCCCATCCTGAAATATAACCCAGATCCCTGACCTGCAGCTCCACAGCCCAGATGCCCACTGTTTTCCCAGAGAGTTTTCGGGAGCAACTGTTTCACAGAACAGCAGATTACTCTCATGCAGTGGGAGGCAGCTGCTGTATTGCAGCTTGAGGAACTCAAAAGGAACTACTGCCTTGCCTGGAAGCAGCCCATGGGCTGTATTTCAGCTGTGCAGGGAGCTACAGGGCTTCCTATGGGCAGGTTCATGCATGGCACAGCATTAAGTAGGTGACTTGTCTCCATGTGAGACAGCGAAAGATAAAACAGAGGCAAGGTACTGCTTGATGATATAGAGCCAGCAGCTCTCCCACCTGTGGCTTTGGAGTGACAAAATACCACTTAGCAGATTTGTTTTGCTTCTGAAGGAGGTGTTGGCTCCTGGCTTTGTTGTCACAGCTTGCCTGCTAGGGTAGGGTCTGTACGTACACCAGGCAGATGCCATGCTGCATGAGAGCTGCGTGCCATGAGACCTGCACATAGACAGATTTGGCCTGACATGCTGAGCTCTCAACCGGGAGTTTCAACCAGTAGGAAAATGAGGTCCTGACCTACTCAGCCTGTGCCTGTTAGAAAATGCCTACTGCTGAAGGTTAAGTAACGGCAAGTGTCCATGTTGCAGAAGCAGACCATGAGGTTTTCCAGTAAGCAAAGGAATCTGATGGCAGTTTACACTGCTCCCATTGCAGAGAAGATCTTCTCTGTGGTGACACTAATGGCAATTGATAAATTGATATAGCAAAGCCACCAATAACTTCATTTTTAAAAAGAGAGAAAGTCTAATTACATTACCCAGCTTATTAGAAAAATGTATGCAATGAGAGGGGGGCAGTCTGTGCCATCACATTGACAGACCCAAAGTCAAAGTTTCTGGTGGGTTTTGCCATCCCCCACACCAGAGTGGAGCCAGGCATTACTCTCTGCTGCATCAGTGTTGTCCTGTTTGAATTTAGCCTCCATGTGCTTTGCTGGAGGGAGATTTCCCCGTGACATCAGTTGCTTAGGTTATCTTTTCTTCCTTCCCAAGGCAACAGCACATGGCCCAGTCTTCACAGCAAGCAGAAGCAGTGCCACCCAGCAGAGGGAAAGGTCAGTCTCAGTGCAGCATCCCAAACTCTCTGGACAAAAGAGTTTTGCCAGCTCCCAGTGTTTCCTGGGAAACATCTCCCACTACCAAAGCCTTGGTGGGAAAACTGATGAAGCACTGTAAATATTGCTGTTTAAAAGTGTCCAGGAGGTGAGTCATCACGGCCTTGCAATAAGTAGGATAAATTGTTCATTGTAAGTGATAGGTACCCCAATGAGCACACTTTGGGAAGCCCTGTTGTAAAGGAAAACTGTGTGCCTTCCAGGAGCATCACGGGGTACTCTGGCCCTTCCCAGCCCTGGGACACTGTATGCCACGTGCTTCCATACCCTCTTCCACAGTGCAGGGCAGAGCAGGTATGTTTGCCCATCGCTTTACTTGCTGATACTTTGCAAGGGGCCTGTGTTCTTTTGGATAGCGAAAAGCTCTCAGAGGAGGACACAGCAATGCAAGCACATGGCAGTGGGGGAGAAACACTTGCAAGAGCGAGCAAGTCTGCTGGACCTCATCCCAAGGATTTTGGCTTGTGAAGAGCCTTGTCCAGCCTGTACGGCTGGGGCCAGGTTCCCTCCCGTGGCTGAGAGGTGCCACAGCAGGAACGAGCAGCTCCACAAAGCTGCACAAAGTGTGCAAGGGGCAGGTGTCTGGTGCTGAAATCACTTCTCCCGAGACTGGTATTGATGATATGTCCTACTTTTTGCTAGTTAACACCAAGGTCCTCCAAGAAAGCATGCCTAATTACTGTACACAGTAACGGGATAGTCATTTGGAGCCCTTCTGACAGTAGACAGATGTCTGGGATGCTACCCTTAACCAGAACCAGACCCACTCTTGAGTGGACTGTCATTAAAGTGAAGGGATTTTCCTTATTTGTCTTATGCAAGGTAGAAAACATAGGTTCCTGAATATAGGACAGTGCAGTGCATTTTCACCCAGGCTGTAGTATATAAATCCTCCAAAGTCACAGAATCACAGAATGTTAAGGATTGGAAGGGACCTTGAAAGATTATCTAGTCCAACCCCCCTACCAGAGCAGGATCACCTACAGTAGGTCACACAGGAAAGCATCCAGGCAGGTTTTGAATGTCTTTGTAGACTTTACTATTCTGGTTATCCCAGACAGGTAGTAGTGGATGGCTCTGTGGTGGCACTCACAGTTACTGTGGTAGGACATCAGTAGGCCAAGTGCTGTGGGGGTATGTACATGAGGTGAGTGGCTGGCTCAGAATTCATGGATAATATGTTACCTGCTTCTTGGAACAATTGCTGCATAAACAGACTGTGCTACCGAAGCTCTCACCGGTGCACACATTTGCTGATGTGGTGAAGTCACTGGGTGTGCCAGGACTGGGCGGGAAGTCAGCACAATGCCTTGAGATATGTTATCGACTGTAAATGTGGCAGGAAGTCATTAAAGATTTCCTGAGCTATTCCCTGGGAAAAGCCTACCTCCAGGCTCCGACAAAGTTAGAGGACTTGTACTGCCAGGGCTGAGAAATCAAAAGAAAAAGTGCTCTAATGAGCCAATGTCAGCAGCTTCAGCAGGGACCCCTCTGCTACAGACAGATCCTGTGTCCACAGGGTCGGGGTGGTGACGGATGATGAGATTTGGGGGACATGTGCCAAGGGGCCTTTTGTAGCTCACTTACTGCAGCCAGGCTCCACTGAGCCTCCCTAAGGCTCTGGAGGTTAAGAGAGGTACAGACATAGACAGGTCTGAATCCTTTGTCTCTAAAGCTTTGTAAATCCCTATAAATGAAAATAAATGGCATCTCATTTTAAGAAAGCTGTTTGGTTGCTCCAGGAGCTCTCAGTCACAGCTCCACGAGGGAGATTCGCAGATGCCGAGCTCTCTTGGACCAACTCAGAAAAGACAATTCCTGCCATCAGGAGGCAATCAGAGACTGGGACAAGAGCATGAGCACTGAGGGAAGCAAACCAAGCAGATCAGGGCAAGGAGCTTCAGTGTTTGTAGGTATCTCATTCCAAAAGATATGAAGGAGTTGGGACATGATTTAATGATGATACCAGGAATTCGTGTGACTCATCTCACTTGATGTCCACAGTAACTCTCACTTTTGTTGCTGCAAATATGTCTGTCTTGAAAAACATTTAAATTTTGCCAGCAAGATGTTTCTATCTTCTTTTCTTTTCCCCCTCTAAATCTCACCAACCAGCCTCTGGTCAAGACTCAACAGAGAAAAGGTCTTGGGGAGTTACTGTGGAAATTTCATTTCTGGGCTATGGCTACAGGTGCAAAATTTTAGGGAAAAAAAGAAAAAAAATGTAACTGAATTAACTCTGAGACTATTTAACTGCCAAAAAATTTAGTGTTCTGCATAAAAACAAAGTCATACTACGGTCAAGGGAAAAGAGCCAGCTATAGTTACATTTCACAGTGTTCATTTTCTCACTGGAAAAGATGAGCATGTGAAGATTAGACAGCTAAACTTCCAGTTTTAAGTACCTGCAAAAATCCTACAAGTGAACTTGTAAAATCAGATCGTCTACTAAGTCTAGCAACCCCCAGCATCCACATGGCTCAAACTCTAATTTTGACTGCAGAAAGCAGCAGGGACAGAAAAAAGTAGTTTGAAGCTGCTGCTGAACTTGGATGTGTATAAGGACTTTTCCACTATTTATTTTCTACATGTTATTTTAATTTAGGACATTTGTTCCTTAAATGCAGAGCCTTGCTTACAAGCCTGCCAAAGATGACACAACTTTTTATCCTGTTGGATCATTTGCTGATTATTCTGTAACAAGCATATTGTGTGTGTTATTTCTAATGCAAAAATTACAAAAAATAAACTTTCTCTTTTAAAAACTAACATTTACAATCAGAATAATTTTTCTTTCCCCACAGTTACAGAATTGTTAGCTGCTAAGCTACTATAAATCAGTCTGCCCCAACTGGAAAATGTTTTTGGATGGGAGAAATCCTGTAGTACTGTCTCCTATCTGTTTGGCTGTACCAGTGTAGCATACTGTATTGACCCCATTTAAATGACCAAAAGTGTTTTTTTATCTCAAATTCAGAGTATATCTCTCACGTATGTCTTTGATTCTCTTCTTACAGGCGAGAAAGAAACTGTAGCTGAAAAACGAAGGCATATTTCTCCAGCAGGATTTCAAGGGGGAAAGCCTGCCTGCCTGCACTGCAAGGAGGTACCCTACACACACACAGAAACATTCCCTGGCACTGGTGACACTGTTGTTCGGCCTCTCTCTTGCTGAGAAGGTTTCCACACACTTCAACAATGAATTTCCTCCGGCGGCGTCTCTCAGACAGTAGTTTTGTGGCAAATCTGCCCAATGGCTACATGATGGACTTGCAGCGCCCTGACAGCTCCACAAGCTCCCCAGTTTCTCCTGCCATGGAGAGAAAACATCCACAGCCACCACAGCCCTCACACTCTCCCTCTACTGGCACCAGCATCTTCAGCTCCATCTCCAGTGCCATGAAGCAAACCACGCAAGCGGCTGCAGGACTAATTGACCACTCGGCCAGTCCTACACCACCTGTGGCCCAGAAACCCAGGATTCTCCTGGTGATTGATGATGCACACACAGACTGGTAAGTCATCACAGTCTTCCCTACTGCCTTCAACTCCACAAAATATGGAGGACAAGAGGGATCTGGGAGGCGCAGGGCATCTGCAGAGGGTTACACAGGGACTTTTACATCTAGGTCACCAACTCTGGCCCTACATTGGTGTCTTTCGGGTGACCTGTGTAAATGTCAGAGTAGGTTTTTCTCATATCTTGCTTGGAAAAAATGTTCGTTTGTCTCTCATTGGAAAAATCCTTGATAGCCTCAATATATGAGCACACATAGGATATTCTTGGCTCAGCTCGCTTAGCTGAGCTGTGACATCTAGCAATGGTCCTAAGAGGTCATAGCTGAAGGTGTGTTGGTGATGTGGTTAAGGACTTTAGCCTACTGTTTGTGCGGGCTCTAAAAGTGAAAAGGGACTCAATCTCTTCAGATATCAATTTCTCTTGAGTTTTTCTCTGTATGTAAATTTGTACAGAAATTGCTAAAAGATAACTTAAGCCTACTGCTACTAATAGTAATGACTGGAGTTCATTTGCTGGTCAAGGGCCCTTCACCTGCTAAGCTTAGTGGCTACTGGCAAAAGGCTCTCAGGTTCAGCTAAGCCTCAAAGCTGTCTTGTTAATGTAGGTCTCTGTTTACAAACAGAAGTTTGGAGGCTTGTTTCCTGTGGTATTGGGCAGCAGAGCACACTTTTTAATGGGTAGGACAACTGAAATCTTCCAAAATGTTGGAGAAATTACTTACTGCTTTCTGTGTGCTCCCTTTCAAAGTTGGCTGGTTTAGAAAGCTTTAAGTAAACTGACCAAGAGACCTATTTGGGGGCAAATCCAGAGCATGTGTTGACGAGATTCATTGGTTTGCTTGCCAGCTTGTCATAACACAGAAGGAAAAAAAAAAAGAAAAGGTAGCACAGGCAAGGGGAACTGTATTGAAGACTTGAAAATGGAAGATGTAGGGTTACCAGGTCTTGGCCAAAGGAGATTATTTTATTTTTATTTTCATCCCCTGACACTCTTCAGTAAAGCTGCCACCTTTGGTCTTCTCTGCTTTCCCAGGAGAGTGGGGACAAGGTGATACTTACTTCCCCAGGTCTATCTTCACAAAGCAAGAGCTTAGCTCGTAGGTAAAAAGGAGGAACGGCTAAGTGCAACTAGGTCAGGCTTCTTCATCCAACCTGAAGTATGAGAAGGAAAACAGTGGGATTTTTCTCAAAGGAAAAACAACTTTTTAAGTGAGTGGGAATGTCCCTGATAAGGTGGTTGTCACATCAAACATTTCCCTGGCTTAGTGTCTCTTATCACAGTAGCAGCCTCAATGCCAGATAGTTCAGTCTGGCTCAACCCTGATCTCTCCTTCCTGGGTGCCGCTGCAAGTCTCCCAGCAGGCTGGTGCTCACCGACCTCCATCTCTGCTTAGCGTTTTTGCAGTTCCTTGAAGACCCTGCCAGGTGGCAGTCCCTTAACATAGCATCCTCCAGCTGGGAATGGGATCGTCTCTCATGCACAGCTCTAGCATCTGGGGCTTAGCCGGCACTGCTTATTCCAAACACTGTCATCAGAGAGGAAAGCCCTAGCTCAAAGGCCAATCTAGTTTTTCTTTGAGATTAATGGTGCTGAAGGTAGTCTGGGCAGTTGAAAGGACGAGGAGGGGTTGGACTCTGTTGCAGTGTTTTTGTGTTTTCATGTTTTAAAATATGCACTGCATTCAAATCCCTGTCTTTATATCCCCCAGCTGCTGTTCTGTCATGCAGACTTCGTGGTCTGTGATCTGAGCTTGCCCAAGGAGCAGCAGCTGGGAGATATAAAGAGGAGATATGGCTACCCATGCTGTCTTCACTCTTCCACTCATGTGTAAGCACTCCACGCATCCTGCTGTCTTGGCTATCTCTCTGCTGTCTATAGCTTAGCAGTTTCTACATGATGGGGGACCCTTTTCATTCCTCCCAGCTCTCTGCCTTTATCTGCAGACTTGCAGGTATCAAATAATGCTGCTTGCGAAGGCTCCCTTGCCTTTACTCTCTCCAAGGTTGTGAGGACACTGAATAAAACTAGTGTATGTGTTCATGACTGTAACCTGACATAGGTACGACACGAAAACCAAGGAAACAACATTACTAACCCTTGCCTGCCACAGATTTCCATAACTCTTTGTAGCATGGACAGAAACACATGCCTAGAAACTAGAAACTTGCCCAGCCTGAAGGTAATTTTCTGAGAGAGCATACCAATGCAACCACTCCAATAGGCTATGAGTGCTACTTGGCAGTTGATTTTCTGTCTCCAGGAAACTCAGTGAGCCCTTGAGAGCAGCACTGGAGAGCAGTGGCTCCATGGCTCTGTAGATGTTTATTTTTGGTAAGGTACTTCTGAGCAATGCCAATCATCTTCTTGGTCTCAGCCAGGGTGTTATGTGAGCTCAGTCTGACCAGCCTGAGGCAGCAGTGTTTGCCTTGTGAGAGCACAACTGTAGAAGCTGGTTATCCAGGGATTCCGGCTGTCTACTCTGCATCACACACGGAAACAGTCCCAGACTTTAGAGAGTCAACCTAAAGTTCCTAAACAACCTATTGTTATGTCTGTGCTGATGATTTTGGGTTTGGAAGAAGCATCATGTTTGCAATGCATTTCACCTCTGCCTGCTCTGGTTCTTGCTACTTATGAAGCCTTTGTATTTGGTTTCCAATAAACCCTTTCCTTCTCCTTTTGAAATAGTTTACTAGAAAAGATCCCCAAGAAATAGCTACTGAAGCATTACCTTCATTTTAAGGGCAGGGAACTTCCACAGTGCTTCCTCCCCCACAGCAAGTTAAATGGGGTTTACAACAAGGGCCAGCTTGTTCACAGACAGGAAGGGTGAGAGACAGTGGAATCTACCATTTGATTTCTCTTCTCTAAATGAAAACACTTTCTCATAATTGGAGACTGTAGCAATATTGCCAAGCCAGACATTAATTTATCATCACTATTTATGTTACAGCAGAGACAAAGAGCTGCAGTTGTGGATTAGGATGAGGTGTTGCACAAGTGTGTGACGAAATGCTCTAATAACCCAAAAAGGTGAGTGCATGTTGAATGCACTTTAAAGTGACAAATGGCAATCCTCTCTATTTTTAAGGAGCTACTATGTCTCTGATGGTTCAGTATTGCACTCTACTTCTCTCAGACATCTGGCAGAAGTGAAGAGCATCCATGGGAATCCATGGCCTGCCTTCTTGCATAAAATCCTTACCACTCTAGATGTGCAATATGCTCTGGTTTATTCCAAAGACAATGTACTGTAAAAATAATGTGAGCCCCACAGAATATGATCAGCTGCTTTCTGCATTAGCAGCAGTAAAAGAAAGGTATGTTCTATTAAAAGCAAGGGAACTCATCCAGCTTTCTGTTAAATCGGCAACATTTTGACAAATTTTCCATCCTTCTCCAAGACCCTGCATTGCAAGGAAGCACATAGTGAATCTGCCGCATGCAGGATGTGCATGAGAGGAAAACACTGTCTGTATGGCTCCCTCGTGCTCTTGGCTTTGACAGGAAGCCCTCGCAGGCACCCACAGCAGTGAATGTACCCACACATAGGCACGCTGGGGAAAAGCTCTGCTTCTCTTCAGTCATTGATGGCACATACCTCAGCTCAGTAGCCTCCACCTGGAGAATCATGCACCTTCTTGTGGGCTGGGCAAGCAGTGTCTCTGCCTCAGGAGACCTCCAAAAATGCATCCACAACTCACCTACAGCAGCTGCCAGGAAACAAAACCAGAGCTCAGGCAGGAAAAAAACAGACACACATGCAAACGCACAGCAGAAGGGAGCAGGACCATGAGGAAAGGGGGATGGCAGGACTCCATGTCATGGCAGATGGGCCAGCTCCAGCAGACCAACCTCAGCCAGGAGGAAAATGTCCCACCTCTGGCAACTTCCTCACCCGACACGCTGTTAAGTAAAATCATGCTCTTGCTGGATTGAATTTCTCAGCAGATAAAACAGGATTTAGGACTGTGAATTGTTAACCCCCATCCTCTGCAAAAGTGCTCAGCTTTCTAGCCTAATGCTTCATGTTTAAACAGCTTATTTGGGAAGTGATCAAGCACAGCTAAGGCTGTTAACAACATATGCTAAAAACATTGCTTTCTGGAACAGAGAGCATAACAGAATTGTTCTTTTTGCATTTGTTAGATATCTTGGTTGCATTTGTGAAATATCTTATGTCACTTTTCAAAGCCATTGGTGTGTTTTGTCCAAATTTCAGGCTGTTTCACGTGCTAACAGTGTGACATATGCTGTCTTGCACAAAATACATGTGCCCTATGTGTAGCAATGCTACACACGAGGATTGTGCCATGTTTCACAGGAGGAAAAAAAAGCCACAAAGGATATTTTAGGAGACATAAAATTGCATTGTTGTTTTCCCATTTACTTTACAGCCAAATCTGCCTGAACATACTGTCTCCAAAGATTTAAAAATGAAGGAAGAGAAAAACTGTGATTAATACTGAATGAAATCCTCTTAATAAATCTGAAACGGTTCTTTGTATAACAATAATGTCATGATTCAGGTCTAATTATGGACTGACCTGACAAGATTGCTATTTTATATTGTTCGGGGGAAATTATCAGCCCTTTTTTATAAAAATAAAACAATTTTTACTTCTGATAGCACTCGACAATATTAAGCCTTAAATATGTAATTTGTCCAAAAATATAATTGGTCAAATAATAACAGTCTAACACTGAATTTTAGTAACATAGGACTTCCTAAATCCTATTTTTTTTGCAAGAAATTCCTTTTCAAAAATATTTAATAAGTGTCATGAGTCATTTCAGGCTTTCAGTAGGCTGAAGATGATATACTAAGTCTTCCATTCAGACAAATATTCTTGTACATAACTCAAATATAATAGGAAGTTCTGGACTAGCTTTTAGATTTGGACTTCATTATAATTTATCTTTATTATTATTATTCAGAATTGATACTTCAAGATTGACCTCAGGAATTTGCAGGTTAAATTTCCTGATAAGAAA